TCTAAGTGCTCATGAAAACCCATTTAATAAGCTGTCAATTTGATAGTAGGCCCAGTGTTACTTTGAAAAATTGTGAAGGATTTTCAAATTCCAATTTTGTTTTAACATCAGTAGTTTTTTTTTAATCTGTAAAATACTTAAGCTTTTTTCTACGTACTGTTGTGAATTGTTTTAAATACTACCATCTACATACTAAATATTTTCTTGAGGTGGCTTTTATTTTGGAAAGAATTGCTGACATGAGAGAACCTGTGCCTTGACTTTCCAATGGCAAAGCTTTAGAATATGAGCACTGATACCTAGAAGGAAATTAACACCAAGTTTCTGCGATCCACTGATCTATAAGCAGCATTAAAAAATATAAATGACTCTATAAACCCTTTCCAATTCACCAGAATAGAAATAATAAATAGCAAAGGCTTTACCAACTAGGATTACAAATTCAATGCAGAGAATTATTTTTCTTATAAAGAGTTATAGAAGACATATGTACGTGATCATAAACATCTATTTAATATACAATCAAAATGTAATATATTCCTCAGAACAGTATGTCGTTTGAACAGAAGAAATGAAAAACAAACACCCTTTACATTCTATTCTTGTCAAGCAAAGGTCTGAGTGGTAATTTAGTAGGAGCCTTGAATTTTTAAGTTCAACTAAAGCTGCATAACGACAGCCACAGATGCAGCCCCTCCCTCCGCTGAGGACACAATGAAAGTCCAGCCGGGGCTTGGGACGCTCGTCCCAGAAACCCAAAGTATGGGGACTAGAAAGGCTTTTATTTCTTAGTTAAATGACATAACTCCTGAAACTAGGTAAATGTTTTTTTAAATTTATTTTTTAATTGATTATGCCATTACAGTTGTTCTATTCCCCCCTTCATTCCCCTCCACCCTACCCCCGTCCCCACCATTACTCCCCCTTTAGTTTATGACCATGTGTCTCAAGTTCTTTAGATTCTATATTTCCCATACTATTCTTGCCCCTCCATCTATTTTCTATCTACTGTCTATGCTACTTATTTTCTGTACCTTCTCCCCTCTTCTCCTCCTCCCACTCCCCTGTTGCTAACCCTCCTTGAGATCTTCATTTCTATGTTTCTGCTCCTGATCTACCTGTCCCTTTAGTTTGCTTTTGTTTTAGGTGTGGTTGTTAATAACTGTGAGTTTGCTGTCCTTTCACTGTTCATGTTTTTTTAACTTCTTTTTCTTAGATAAGTCCCTTCAACATTTCATATAATAAGGGCTTGGTGATGATGGACTCCTTGAATTTGATCTTATCTGAGAAGCACTTTATCTGTCCTTCCATTCTAAGTGAAAGTTTTGCTGGATAGAGCAATCTTGGTTGTAGGTCTTTGGATTTCATGACTTGGAATACCTCTTTCCAGCCCCTTCTTGCCTGTAAGGTCTCTTTTGAGAAATATGCTGACAGTCTGATGGGAACTCCTTTGTAGGTGACTGTCCCCTTATCTCTTGCTGCTTCTAGGATTCTCTCCTTCATTTTAATCTTGGCTAATGTAGAGATGATGTGCCTTGGTGTGTTTCTTCTTGGGTCCAAGTTCTTTGGGACTCTCTGAGCTTCCTGGATTTCCTGGAAGTCTATTTCCTTTGCCAGATTGGGGAAATTCTCCTTTATTATTTGTTCAAATAAGTTTTCCACTGGTGGCTGTTCCTTTCCCCCTTCTGGTACCCCTATAATTTGGATGTTGGAGCATTTAAAGATGTCTTGGAGGTTCCTAAGACTCTTCTCATTTTTTTGAATTCTTGCTTCTTCACTCTTTTCTGTTTGGCCATTATTTGCTTTTTTCTGGTCCACTCCATTGATTTGAGTCCCAGTTTCCTTTTCATCGCTATTGGTTTCCTGTGCAATTCCATTCATTTCAATTAGTTTCACCTTCATATGTTTGTCTAATTTGTGGCTATAATCAACCAGTTCTGTGAGGATCCTGATCACCAGTGTTTTAAACTGTGTGTCAGAGAGTTTTGCTATTTCTTCATCACTTAGATTTATAGGCTCTGGGGCTTTGAGGTCTTCTTGAGCCATTTTTGGTCTGTTCGCACCCAGTTAAGTACGAGGAGCGGAGCCTTGAACTCCCAGGTCGCTGGATTATGACGCTGTATGTGGAGGCGGGGTCGGAGCAGGGAAATGGCGACGCCCTCCGCTGCTGCTCACCACTGGGGCCTGCTGGCTCCCCTCCAGTCGCCCACTCCCTCGCTTGTCTATCCACACACGAATGCGTGACCACAGTCAACCCGCAGCCCTGCTCCCTTGCTGTTTCTCCCCGGTCGCTTGCTCGGTCGCTCACTAGGTCCAACCCTGCACCTGGATTTCGCGCACCTGAGTCCTCCGACCGAGTCCTCCTGTGCAACCCCGCTCCTCCAGCTGCTGGTTTCACCCCTTACCGGTCAGGCTGAAGAATTTGTTGTTATCAGACTTCCGAAAAGTTCAATTTTCCGTGTTCTGGCTGTGTTTTCTGTTGCTAATATTTAGTTGTCTCTAAACTTGGTTGTGTGAGAAAGCACGGCGCCTCCACCTATGCCTCCATCTTGGCGGAAGTCAGGTAAATGTTACAACAATAACTTACAATTACATTTTGCTGAGGGCATAACACACACACACACGTGCACGACAAAACCAGGGCATAAAGAGGTATTTATATGTGAAAAACCATCATGTCAATCTGTGTCAGAGCATGTCACATTTGTCTGTCTTGATGTGGGACACAGTTAGGGTTGAAGTTTCAGAAATACTTGTGAATTAGTTATAGAACTGGAACACACCATACAGAGTATTTCGAAGTTGCTACCAAAATCAGGTTGTAGTTCTACTTACACTTACAGGTCCCCAACGCTCCTTCCTATCCCGTGGGTGTCGCACTGAGACGGCCATGGGGAGAAATTAACTAGGTGGTTTCTGAAGGACGCACCAGCCATTTCATCGCGAGTTCTGGTTCTGAATTATACACAATGTCCTGGCCCACACCTAACGGCATAGATTTTTAGGGAGTGCTAATCTGGGGATAAAGAAATGTGAGGGGGGATAGGAGGCCCTAAAAGGCCACCGAAACCGATGAGTGACTGCACAGTGAGAGAGGTGAGGGAAGAACACCCACCAAATGCCGGCTGGGATGCCCTTCTCTCTCTTCCTTGACGGGGTTGCCTTTTAAAGGCCACTTTCTATATCACTGTGGGGCGGGGGGTTATCCCGCCCCTTGTCATTTGTTCCTTCGCTATCTTAACATGCAGCCTACAAGGAAAACACCGCATCCAAAGCTAGGATAAAAGCTTCAGTGAAAACCACGAGCCTTACCCTCCGATCAGCACACTGTCCTCGGTGAGTCAAATCTTCCTGTGTGGAAGCGGGGTGACCTCTCTGGGTAGACGGTGTTCACTCGGGGTGTGCCGCTCCGCCTCCGCAAGTGCGGACAGTGGTCACTCCCTAACCGTGGGGTGCAGGCACGCGCTTTCCTTCCGAGGCAGGCACTCGTGCTCCAAGGACTCATTCTCATCGCCCTTCAGGTACGTCGCTGCATCACACGACTGCAGATGTGATGCCTGGTCTCTAATGACTCATTCAAAATCACTCCAGAAAATGCAGGGCCAGTGGAGATACTATCATCAGAACCTCTTGAAAATAGTTACTGTAGATGCACACAAGTAAACCATAATCGGATGTCGAGTCTGAGGTCTGATAACTGATTTTAGGTGGAATACAAGTCTTCTTAAGTGTTCTTATTTACCGGGTAATTTCAAGAGTATTCAGAGCCCTGGCTGGCGTAGCTCAGTGGATTGAGCACGGGCCTGCGAACCAGAGTATCTCAGTTCGATTCCCAATCAGGGCACATGCCTGGGTTGCAGGCCAGTTCCCAGCAGGGGATGCACTAGAGGCAACCACACATTGATGTTTCTCTTCCTCTCTCCTCCCCCTCTAAAGATAAATAAATAAGTCTTTTTAAAAAATAAAAAAAAATAAAGAGTATTCAGGAAACTGAAAGAGATTGCAGCCGTCTCCCCACATCTGCGGGGGGATGTTCCACGCCCCGGTGGACCCCGGGAACTGTGACGGCACTGAACCCTGTATCGACTGTTCTTTCCCCCGACACACACGCCCGCTCACTCAGAGGAAGCACTCCACGCTTCTCTGCGGCACGCCCGAACTGCCAGTGTCCCCACTCTTGCACTTTGGGACTAATTAAGTAAAACAAGGTGACTGGAACACTGGCACTGGGACACTGTGACAGTCAAGTGTACGCAGGGAGTGTACACAGCCTGGTCACACTGGACAAACGGCTGATTCATGTCCCAGGTGGGATGAAGTGTGAGCATGTGAGATTTCATCATGCTACTCAGAATGGCACAGAATGTAAAACTTAGAATTATTTCTTCTGGAACTTTCCAATTGATATTTTCAGACCAAGGTTGACTCCTGGTAACTAAAACCATGGGAAGTTGCCCTGGCTGGTGTGGCTCAGTGGATCGAGGGCCGGCCTGCAAACCAAAAGGTCACTAGTTTGATTCCCAGTCAGGGCACATGCCTGGGTTCTGGGCCAGGTCCCCAGTAGGGGGCATGAGAGTTGCAACCACACACTGATGTTTCTCTTTCTCTTTCCTTTCCCCTTTCTCTAAAAATAAATAAACAAAATCTTAAAAAAAAATAAAACCATGGAAAATGAAACTGTGGATGGGGGGGCACTGTGCATTTATTCTGAGTCCAGATACTTTCTCAACTGTTGAAGTACAGGATGAACTTGACTCCTCCATCAGTTTTCTTGTAAGTTATGCTGCAAAAAAAGGCCTGAACCTCCAGTGATACAAACAGCACTTGGGTAGACCGAGGAAGTTAAATTCCCACGCTGTTTTGTTTTTTTTTTCCCACGCTGTTGATTTTCCTTGTACGTGGTAAATGTGTTGCCTATAATACATGGTCTTTACATTTGCAAAGAATTCATATATTTAGTGATTGAATAGAGAAAATAAACTAGGTTTCATTTTTAAAAATAAAGTTTATTTGTAATAACTACCTTTCATAACACTACACTTGCATTTGCCCTGCGGAATGCGTACAGGTACCGCTGGCTTTGGTACTTACTACAGAGGCGTACTCTCCACACTAATGCAGAAGGGCAGGACCTTCTTCCCACTCTAAAAGTCTCTTCTCTACTGTAAAGAATTCTCAGTGCATCTGAACTAAGACTCTGCAGCACGCGGCAGAGAGGAGTTCAGGACAGCCTCGCAGAATCAGGTTTTCTCTCTCCTCGACTGGACACCTGAAAACAGGCACTCTAGTTTGAAAAGGTAGAAGCAAAGTCTGAGTATTAGAAACACAGGGGATATAACCATCTGCTTCAGAACACATGCCCGAGGTGAGGAATAGCACGTAGGTTCATGTTCTGTACGGCAGCTTCAAAGGAAACCTTCAGTTTTTAGTCTTCAGGTTCATATCTGGAAAGAGATATATATTAAATTAAGAGCATAATATTGTAAGTCCTTTGTTGTTGTCATTGCTACTGAGTTTACTTAAAACATCTCCCAGTGCCCATTCCAGTAACATTGCATTTCCCCTTTAAATCACTGCTACGGTTGACATCAGACACACATGGAGAATTGTGCAGGTGACTCGGGGCATTCCAGGAGCAGGGAGAACAAACCAGTTAACTGCTGAGACACCCTCAGACTCAAGTCTCTGTATCTGGCAGTTAGATCCATGACAGTATAGAAGAAACTCAGTAATTACATAAATCATCAGACCACCACCACTAGTGAATTGCTATGTGGGTCAAGGATAACAAGCCCCCCTCTCAAAGGACAAACCTGACCTTCGACTCACATCCTAGCTGTTCCCATGAAACCCTAATGAAGGCAAAACATCAGCCGAATTCCCAGGCGGAACTGCTGACCACAGAGGTGCCCCTGATGAGCAGATGCCCCCTGGACCAGGACCGCAAGCACACTGCAAGTCCTGGGCCGGCCAGAAAGTCCATTGCATTTTTTCCATACAACTGCTCTAGCAGCGCTTAGCTGCCTTTAACTTCATGTGAAACAACTTCATTAGGTGTATCATGACAGCAGTCATATTGGTGTGAATTTTTAAAAAATGATCAAAATTGAATTTTTGTGCAGCCATTTTAATATTGAAGATGGAAGAAAATACACACCACTTTGGCATATCATACTTTGTAAGAAAGGTAAAAATTCAACCGAAATGCGCAAAAAAAAAAATTTGTGCAGTGTGTGGAGAAGGTGCTGTGTGACCGAATGTGTCGATAGTGGTTTGCAGTGGGCAGGGTCTACTGTAGGCTGGCCGGCGGGATGGTGGAGGAAGACCCCACTTATGAGGAAGAATGAAGAAACCGGAGGAGGTGCAGAAAGCAGGGTAAGAGAGCTTGTTGTTTTCTAAAGGATTCCAATGCAGGATGTACGGGTCTGGGGACGAGCGGAAGCCTTACCCTGGGTCGGTGGGTGGGACGCTGTTCCCAAGGCCATCACTGCCATGACACACAAGGCAGTGTCAGCTTCAAGACAAGGGTGGGTGCAAGGTGAAGACACCACCTTGATTTGAAAGGATCCAAGGAAATTTGCTAGAGGTTAAGATTTGCTTACTGTGAAGGAAGGATTGAAATGAGCTAGAAAAGCATTTGATGAAGCAAACCGGATCTTGACCACCTTTGTACTTTCTGGAGCTTCCTTATCTTCTGGGGAGACCATATATAAAAATAACCTGTATGGCTCGGGCTGGTATGGCCCAGTGGACTGAGTGCTGGCCTGTGAACCAGAGTCACCAGTTCAACTCCCAGTCAGGGCACATGCCTGGGTTGCAGGCCAGGTCCCCAGTAGGGGGCATGTGGAGGCAACCACACATTGATATTTCTCCTTCCTTTCCCCTCTAAGAAAATAATCTTAAATAAAACCCTGTATGTTTTACCTAGGAAAGCTGATAACTAGCCATGTAAGTGAGAGATGGAGAAGACACTGTCCCCCTTTCATTTTTGTGTCTGCAGTTTTGAAGTGGTGGCCGAGGCTCTGCCCACCTGCCGATACCACGGTACCTGAATCCCCTACTGGGTTTCAGTGACCGTGTGGAAGTTGAGGGACCTCGCAAACTGGTCTGAACAGTGACGTGGTGTTCACGTGTCAGGCGTATCTGAGCCACCGCGTCTCTGAGTTGAGACGTGACATCCAACACTACAATGTTCAGACGACAGTCCGAGAGGCCGTTAAAAGATAGTGAAATGGTTTGTGTTTCTTTCAAGGAGAAAATGATACAAGAAAATACCCTTTATGAGTAATAAAGATAATAATTAAGGTAATTATTCTTATACCTTCATCTTAAGGTAATAATTTAATATTCTTTCCTTCTAATAGAGGGATTTGGGGGAGGGAGAAACTCAGTTTCCCGAATGCTTCTGTGTTGGTGCCTTTTTGATTTAAAACTCTTTGGGATTATGATATACTGTTTGTCAGGTTTTAAGGGAACTCGTTTTCCCAGGTCAGATTTCTCTTCTAAATAAAAATAAAATTTTCAGTAATAGGAATGGCACTGCTTAAAAAGCTGATGGCGGCTAACCGTTTGGGTGGCATTTCACGGACACCAGTTGGTACCTGTTCACTGTGGAAACATGTTTGTGACTGAAACCCTATGGGGCCATGGAAGCCACTTCCTGGATCAGGATATACAGGTTTTGTGTGTATTTAGCTTGTTGTATTAAATTATTATCATGCTTAGCTTAAAATAAGGATTAAAATTGCATTTAGAGAGAAAAAAAGTGGTTTGCTAAATTCCCTGGCACCACTGACATTTTGGCCAAATAACTCTGTGCTGGGGGGCCGTCTCGTGCACTGGGAGATGTTCAGCAGCACCCCCGGCCTCTACCCACTAGGAGCCAATAGCAGGAGAGAGCTGACGCACTCACTCAAAGTATCCAAATCAACGAAGTCACTGGTGCAAATGAAAAAAGTAACGGACTTTCTGGCCAACATAATATGTGGTGGGAGCCATGACTGGGTGGTGAGTTCGCTCTGTGTGGTGAGTTCATGTAATGGCACTTGTCCCTGCCGGGGGACCACACGGCCAGACAGGGGACCCAGGTTCTGTGTGAGCACAGGCTTCTTGGCACGCTGCCAAGGGCCCCCATCTGCGTGGGTCTCACTCTCGCACCTCAATTCTCTCCTGAGGGCCCAGCACGACCAGGCCAGGGATGTGCCAGGACACCGTGCAGGAGGAATGCCCGGTGCTGCCCTGTGGGCTGGTTCCGTGCCACGTCCTGCCACCTGAACCCGCTGCCAAGAGCAGCCCACCACAGACAGACAGGTTGGTCTAGCAGAACCTAAAAACCCGGTGGGCGCTATAGACCCGAAGCTGCCGCGCTGTCCTTGAACGCAGGCTCCTGGGTCAGTGAGGGCGCAGCAGGCCACTGGCCTGCCCTCTCTGGACACGAGCTTCGGTTCACTGCAGAACAGCCGCCAACCCGGCAGGGAGGCAAATCTGGGAGGCAGGCGGGCCAGCAGGGCTTACTTTGCCAGTCTCTTCCTCAGGTCTTTGATCTGGTCATTCTTCTTGGTTAGAATCTCTTTCATGTTTCTGTACGCTGCTGTCTGCTGGAATTTCTTCTCTAATTCCTGCAGTGAAAAATTGAAGCCCAACACTAAGAAACAGGTGAGGAAAGAATAAGTATGATGAAAAAGTATGTTTTTTGCTCTAATCTTACTGATATTCTGCCTATATTATTTTGTAATTTCTTTAAAAAAACATATATAAAATTAAGAGTATCCAAACTTTAACAATACATTCTTTCAAACGAAAAGCCATTAAAATAGTAATATTTCTCCAAAAATAATGTCACCAAGTAACTCAAACACACTATGCTCCAGACACGGGAACTCTATTTGAGCCCGTAAACTAATTTTCAGGTATAATAAGCATGATCATTTTCCCAAATCCCAAAGCAGTGTCAATATTTTGGGGGGGATTTTTAAATTAGTTACCTCTCTGCTCTCAGACTCTTAAGTGTTTAATTCCTGAAGTGAACAACCCAGCCCACTACACAGAATCCTTTAGGAGTTAAAGTCACCCACCCCCCCCACCCCCCGCTAGGCCGGGGGAGGGACGGGCAGGGAGGGCGAGCCACCGTGGAAGAATCTTCTACTGCACAACAGGCAGGAGTGCAGACTTTCACCATCACAGGTACTTAGTGCCAGACAAAAGCATCTTAGTGACCAGAGACTACAAATCCTTAGGACACATGTTGGCTAATATCCTGAGAAAAACTGTGACTCTGCAGCTGTCCCACCTGCCCTTGGCCACACCCGTCCCCTCCACTGCGTCCACACCTAAGTGGACACTCACAGACCACGCTGACCTTTTCGGCCATGCTCAGCTGCTCCTGAACCCTGAGCAGGTCGTGCTTGGCTGTTGCCAGACTCTCCTCCAGGGACTTCTGGTTTTCAGTCCTGTCACTCAGCGTCTTCTGAAACTCACTCTTTAAAGTGGCAACTGTGTTTTCCAAGTCACTCAAGTCTTGGGCCTTTATAAAATCCTATGAGAAACCACACAGGATTGTAAGTTTGCGCTGACAAGCTGAGTAGTGGCTGTTTTAGGTGGTGAGTCACCGTCACCGGAGATGAAGGCAAGTGATGCTGCGCCACAGGCGTCCCCGGCTCTGGGGGCTGCCGGCCTCCCGCCCCAGCCGGGTGGGCCCTGGCTCGCCTTCGGCTCTCAGGGCACGGTGACCTGCATGGGGCAGAGCGCAGGGTACAGTACGACTTATGACCTGCTGGGATTCCAAAGAGAAAAGGAGAGCGCGGAGACCCCAGTTCCGACAAGGCTGTGGTGCATCTCAGAGTCTGGGCGCAAACGGGTTTTACTTTGAAGTCACATTTAAAAAACATCCCGGTGGCGCACATGAAGAATAAAATTAGTACACTTACATCTTAAATTTATCTTCCTCACTGTTTACAACAGAGTGTTAGGAGAGCCTAATTCACGCTCACTGATCTTAAGGTTCGCAAATTTACCAGGTCTAAGTCTTTCATACGAATGCACATGCACATTCCCATGTGCCGCCGTGATGCAGCGGCTGGATCCTCTCCCTGGGCCTGGTTCCGACTGAATAAAATTCGCAGCAGGAAGCAGCAGTTGTATTCATGTAACACGGGAGACGGGGCTGTGGCTGCCAGGTGTGAAGCAGCAGCAGTCACACCAACGAAAGCAAAATCCCTCACTCATGTCTGACCAGGTCTGGAAGAGCTGATTCCACTGCAGCTAGGAAGACACGTGTGTGGGTTTTGCTTTTGCCAAAATCTTAAAGGGAAAATTGGAGTGAAGTGCAAAAAGCTTTCAAAACAAATCCACCATCTAAAAATGTTTGCAACTATTTTACTTTTAGGAAATTATAAAGCTGTTCTGGAGGATTTAGCTCTGTTTTATAAATCCGTGGTCCTTGATATGTAATGATAGAAACTCGTATGTTATTTCCCTTTTTTTTAAGCCATAAAAAAAGTTCCTCCTATTTAAAAGATATCTACGGTAACGTCTGAGATGTGATTCAAACAAACTGGGGGAAGAAGCAGAGACAGACAGAGATGTCAGACAGGCCACGCCCGATGACCGGCGAAGCTGAGCGCCGCACACCTGGGGGTGCGTTCCAGTCTTCTCTGCTTTTGTGCGCACTTGACATGTCCCATAGAGAAGGTGTCACACAGCCTGAGGAAGTCGGTTTTGGGACTGTTCAGGAGACGTTTATAACGACAACACCACCACCAGGAGAGCCTGTGCTGCCGAGAGCACTTGGTTGGGCGGGCAGCGGGCGGGCAGCGGCCAGGCCCCAGGCCCGAAGGCAGCACCCGCCCTCCTCGAGGGAAGGGCCGCAGGAGCACAGCTGCGCGCACAGTGTTTGCTGATGGCCGAGCGGCACACGGAGTCGCACTCAGACGAGCCTGGACACCGCTGTGCTGCACAAGTACCAGTACATACAGGTGGAGGCGAAGCTCCGTGACAGGTGGACTGGTTCTAGTTTATCATCCACATGGAAAGCAACTAGTAAGTTTTATATGATAAAACCCACGCACAAATACGATGAACTAAAAACTCTTCCTTTCTTCATTTCCTTTTCCCTCACTGTAACTGGAATGTCAAACTGAAAGGTCAAAAACTTAAAAAAAAAATACATTTAAGAACCTCTTGCATACGAATGAGCTCCCGGGACTGGTGAGGTGTGATCTGTCCCTGGGCCTGGAGGATGGACAGAGGGACAGGCGCTGCTTCTTACCTGGCCTCTCCGGGACAAGGAGGTCCCAGGGCAGCAGGGCAGCGACAGGAGTGGCGGGTGGGTGGGTGGGGCATGAGGAGCAGTAGTGGGGGCATGACCCTGAACTCGTGACTCTAGCTAGGGAAAGTGGAGGGGGAGCCCCAGCTGCTTCAGCTTCACCTGCTGGTTTCCTTGCTCGAGCTGCAAACCGTGCAGTGCGCTTTCCAGCTTCGACTTCTCCTCCAGCGCAGCCGTAGCCTGGAATCAGGTGCAAAGAGAGCGCGTTCAGGACTCGGTCCATAAGCAGCTCTCCCCAGGCGTTCACGGGGTGTCTCTCAGTTACCTGTGTTTCGAGGGTCCTCAGCCTTGACTTCAATTTCTCGTTTTCTTCTTGAAGTCTTACAATTTCCTTTGTGAGAAAATCCAAGTTTTATTATTTTATCCAAAGTATCTGAAATTACTTGGTTCGTTAAAAAATTTAAATTAGCCCTGGCTGGTGTGGCTCAGTGGATTGAGTGCCAGCCTGCAAACCAAAGGGCTGACGGTCTGATTCCCAGTCAGGGCACAGGCCTGGGTTGTGGACCAGGTCCCCAGTAGGGGGCGCATGAGAGGCAACTACCCACAGATGTTTCTCTCTCTTTCTTGCCCCCTTCTCCTCTGTCTGAAAAAATATATAAAAATTTAAAAATAAATAAAAAATTAAATTAAACTTAAATTACCCAACAGATAAAAAAGCTGCACGTCGCGGTGACTGGTAACAGCCCAGTCTTGCCCAGCCCACCAGCCCGGCACCTGTGAGTCTCCTTTGGCCCTAAGACTCCTGGGTCCTTCTCTCCCGGTCTCCTACTGTCTTCAGCCCCCTGCTCTCAGCATTTCCCACCCCCCAGCCCTTCCCCCTAGCTGATCCTGCAACTCTCTGCTCTGTTCGCAGCCTACACAGTGCACCACTGCCACTGTCCTACAGCACAATCGTCACTGTCCTCGTACGCGGCCCCTGAGCCCCTGATGGAGCTGAAGTCAAACGCCTTTGCTTGTAAGCAGCTATGTCCCTGGGGTCACCTGTCGGCCCACCTGGTTCCTACTACGCTCTGGCACACGCATCGGCCCAGTCCCGTCCATGCGGGCCTCCCCCGGCCTCTGACTGTGGGACTGCGGCCTGTTCTGCCCCCTGCTGGCTGTGCCCCCTTCTCTTTCCTCTGACCCCTTAACCTGTCTTTACTCTTCAGCCTGGCTAGGGCACAGCCTTACCCAAGCCTGTCCTCGCCTGCCCTCACGCCCAGAACTGTGTCCCCGCCGGCCGTGGCAGCTGAGGCAGCAGGTTAGCACTGCCCGAGCCCGGGTTCCAGTGTGTTCATTCTCCCTTCTCGGTGAGACTGTGAGGTTTTTGAAGGCAGAAGGCCGGCGGTACACTGCTTTTTATCTAACGAGACCTAGCATAGTGCTGACAATACAGATCATGAAAAATACTTATCTGTGGATTGGTAATTAATTGGTATAAGCCTCTTAATGAAAATCCCTTCATTGTCGTGATGGGTTATAAACTGCAAACGCCCATCAATAAACGACGTCCAAACTTCCCTGTGTTTCATGTCACCACAAAGAGACGCGATCGGGAGCTGCTGCCCAGGGGACGCGCAGCACGGGGAACACACTGCTCAGTGACGGGAGTGACTGTGTACAACGCCGGGGGTGTCAGAATCATCGGAGGGACCATCGGGGGGACCACTCTGTAAGGGATATAGATGTCTAACCCCTATGCTGTACACCTGAAACGAATATAAATTAATACTGAACGTCGAAACAATTGTTTTAAAAAAGAGCTGCTTCGCCCTGGCTGGTGTAGCTCAGTGGGTTGAGCGCAGGCCTGTGAACCAAAGGGTTGCAGTTCAATTCCTAGTCAGGGTACATGCCTGGGTTGCAGGCCAGTTCCCAGCAGGGGACGCATGAGAGGCAACCACACACTGATATTTCTCTCCCTAACCCTTCCCCCCTAAAGATAAATAAAATTTTTAAAAAAGAAAAAAAAAAAGAAATAAATAAAAAAATTTAAAAAGCTGCTTCAGACTACCTGAAAGGTACATCCACCCTCTTCTGGCCTGCTGGCTGCCATTAAGCAAAACAACTACAAGGGACTAGCTACCCTCGGCGGCCAAAGCCGGAGCCAGCCTCCTGCTCCTCTGTTCCTCCTCTCCAGAGTCGGGAGGGCAACTCGAGGACGGAGCAGGGGGTCTGCGGTCCGCAAATGATGGCAACGTTACCTTGTTTAGGAGTTCCGCTGTTCCGCCTTCGTTAAGTGGGGCGAGTTTCGGCTTTGTGACATCTATGACGGGCTGAAATGGAACACGGAAACCAAACTGAAAGCACCACGTTGACTAAATAAATCCTGCACCATCTCCGAGTGCTCACGCTTTCTGAGTGGGGGAACCGCGCAGACAGGCCCACCGGGAAGTCAGCTCCACGGGGGGAGGGGGTTGTTCTCCTTGGTGTGCTCGGTTCTCTGCCGCGCGCCAGGGCCCAGTATAAATTAGACACAGACAAAACCCCTCCTCCCCGTACCTTTAGAAAAATACAGATGGAAGGAAAGAAGGGAAGACTAGCGGGAGGGATGGAGCTCAAAACCAGAGCAGGTATGAATCCTAATGTCTCGGGACTGGACTTTACACTGTGGGGGCAGAGACATCTTTTTGCATGAACCCAGACTCTGGAAAAACGTAGTACTGATGAGGATTGTGGCAACTACACTCCAGAGGAAGAGTAACTTGGCACGAATGTTCTGGCAGTTTAACAATGTGTACAAAAAACCAATAGCATCCATTCCCTTGGACCCAGAAATGTCTTAGCCAGAAACACAATCCAAAGGAGTAACTGGAAAATGGCTCTGGACGTGTATGTCCACGGGTTCTCTCTGGCAGCCCTTTACCGCCCGACACTGGGGATATTGACGGGGCAATGTTATGTGGTCACTGTGAGTGACAAGAATGATTAAAAAGAGAAGCAGCCAACTATTAGTACAGTCTCCACATGACAGGTAAGGAAAGTGACACTCAGCCATCTTGGGTAAACTGAAGGTCACGTAGCTTAGAATGCGCACCCAGGTGTGGCTAACCCCAAACCCACGCTCTGCGTCATCAGAGCAGAGGGCTGATATGGCTGGGAGCCAGGTGAACAGTGGGGAAGGGGGGGGAGGGAGGAGAGAAAGAGAGAGAGAGAGAGTGTGTGTGTGTGTGTGAGAAAGAGAGAGAGAGAGGTATCAAAAACACTTTTTCACAGTTGTTTACAAAGCTTTTCTTCTTTGCCTGAAAATCTGGGAGGGAGTTTTTAATCCTGCTCTAAAATCGAATGCTTTTCCTTGAGAGCTCTCACTTCAACCTTGAAATGCTCTGTGTAACTTGGGGATTTTAAAGACTGGCTGTTAACATACGGACTTAAAATGACCAGAAATTACCTTTTTATTGGAAGATGTAAATTCTGCTTTTTCAAATTCTGCAACTTGTTCTAATAATTCTCTTGAAGATAAAAGCAAATATAAATAAAAAAATATTTGAAATACATTTTAAATAAAGTCACACACACAACAGTAAAATCACTTGTACCGATTTATCCTAGGGCAGAGAGAACAGAGCAAGATGAACATTTCACCTGGTCAAAATCGGTCTTTAGTTACTAATGGTCAGGAGTCCAAACACATGGCCTTTACTTTGAATGGCCCGCAGCACCTAGAACATTCCACCTCAGTGTACCACGTGATCACTAGTGCTTCATTGTTAAGACAAGCATGCTCTGAAATCTGTGGTCAGCTCTGCACTTCCGAGGTGCCAGAGGGAGAGGTGAGCTTTATCACGTAATACAAATCGTTAGCAGCTAGACGTTCAAGACAAACTGATTTTAAGAGGAGCCTCGCAAAAACGGTTGTGACATCTACTGGAAAAGCACGGTACAGTCTCCAGAAAGACAGGTGGCTCAGGTGCCCGGCCTCATCACCACCCCAACGTGGGAAGGGCGGAGGGAGCTGACCCCCCCACCGTGGCCCCACCCCTTGAGGCCTCACTCTGCGCAGGCACCACGGCTGCACTTATGCTCTGGTAACAGTGTCCCAGGTTCAGAGGTCAGTCGTTCCTGATCTCTGGTGTGACTTTTCGTAGAATGGGTTTCAATTTTGCCGATATCACCATTATTTTTAAGAATTAGTGCACTGTTTGATAATGTTTAGAATATAAATTTTTAATGTTTCCTATTTTAAAGATAAGTGTATAATTCCCAATGTGATTATTGAGAAGTAAGCTTCCAATATTAGTCCAAAGTGATGGTATTTGAATGATTTTTTCAAATGTTTCATCATCTTTATTTCCGAGTCAACCTACCTGTAAATAAAGACTTCTTATGATACTGATCAGGCTAACAAAGACACTGTGAGGAAGAGTAACAGCCCCAAAAGCAAATCCATAAATCTCAAACACCCTCCCAGTAGCAGACACGGTAGGAGGGGGGACTCCACCAGCAGCACCTAAGAGGCCCCCAGGGACCAAAACCTTGCCACCGACTCACCCAGCTCTCCCGTACCAGCCCCAAGACAGCGAGGACAGCAGCGGCAAAGGCATTCGATGGCTATCAAGAACATGCCTGGGCTGCTACTGTCCTAATCTCAGGCACTGACTTTACTACCTGTTTTCAAGTTCAGAGATGTCTGTCTGCAGCTTGAGGTACCACTTCTCCGCCTGTGCGAAGAGCTGCCGCAGGAGCAGCACATTGGTGTGCGCCGTGTTGATGAGCTCAGACTCCACCTCACTGTGCACCACGGCCCGCAGCCCGTGCAGGACTTCCGAGACCTCGTCCGCAGTGAAGGTCTCCTCCACCAGCCTGGAACACAGCCGCGACACTTCGTTCGGCACGCATGGTGAACACTGTCCCCAAAGCACAGCGAAGAAAGCTGCCCCGAGCCCCCTCAGGTCTGACAGGGCTGCTGGGACCGTCTCTCTGGGAGCTGTCTTCCTCATTATGAAAGCAGGTCAAAAATAAGCTGAATTAAATGTTGTTGTCTATTTCAACAATTAAATTGTGGCTCATTTTTCAAATGCGGACATCCTTTAATACAAGTATGTATTCAGAGACGTTTCCCCAAATGATTTACTTTTTTCTTTAGTTTTCGAGTTTTTAAATCTTTTTTATTCTCCACTAAAATTCACCTCATTGCCCTGGCTGGTGTAGCTCAGTGGATTGAGCGAGGAGGGCCTGTGAACCAAAGGGGTGCTGGTCCGATTCCCAGTCAGGGCACATGTCTGGGTTGCTGGCCAGGTCGCCAGTGGGGGGTTACTTGAGAGGCAACCACACATTGATGTTTCTCTACCTATCTCACTCCCTTCCCCCTGTCTAAAAATAAGTAAATAAAATCTGTTTAAAATTCATCTTACCGTGATAATTTCAAAAGTCACCTGAAAGATGCAATTTTGCCTTTATTTTTATTATTTGTCTAGGACTCAACGCCCCCCCCCCCCCCAATATCCACTCTGAAACTAACTTCCCTTAGTTACAGCTGGAGGACCACTGACCATGCATCAGAATGAACATCCTCCTCCCCGCCTCCCACACGGAGCCTGGTTTGGGAGGGAACTCAGGGCCAGCTTCTCCCACCCCCGCACTTCAGAGACTGGAACGCAGGCGCAGAAGGTGGAGGTGACGTGCCCAACAGCTGGATCTTGGAGCAAGCTCCTGGGCACGCCTCCTCCTTCCGACAGACCGCTCCTCTCCCCACCTCCAGCCGCAGGTCCCCACCCCTCCAACGCTTGGAAGGGCAGCGTCCCAACCCAGCTCTGCCTTCTCCCTCATTTCCAAAAGGACCTAATGAAGGGAGGTGCACTGAAGTCCAGCCACAGTTATACTCGAGTTCGTATTGCCTGATTTAGCCAGCAGAGTTTAAATGCTGTGAAAAAACCAAAACTTGAACTATTTTTGATGGAAGTCCTGACTAAATATATTAACAATCTCACTATGTTCTTTAACAGAACACACCAAATCTGCTTTAAAACAACCTGCTTTTTTTTTGGCAACCCGATTTCATCCTTAGAACAGCGGTTAAGGTGCACAAAGTGGGTGACCGAGGACCTTCAGGGGCTGTCCCACGACTGCCTCGCCCACTGAACGGCTGCTCTCCCCTGCTGGGGGCTGGGGAACCAGACAGCCAGATCAGAGCAGCGAATGGAACAGCTAGTGGTTGACACCTAAAGGTCTCTGCTGCCCAGGGAAGTTCATGGCTTTATGACAGGTGCAGCTGTCTGGAGGGGTTTTTCAGGAATGTCTTACCCCTGCCGCAGCCTCACTCCAAGGTAATCTGGTCTCTCTATTATTCGGTCCTTTTCTTTGGTTTCTCCAGTATTCGCAAGATCAAACGTCAATTTTCCATGGTCTGTTTTCTCTGCTTCTAATTCTTCAATGTGAACTGCATGGGTGTTTTCTTGCAAACTGTCATATCTTATGGGTCTACTCTCTTCATTAATAACTCAGGTAGTTAAAGTTCTGGTATCTTCAATACAAGCCTCTCATTAGCCCATAAACGCTTCACGACTTCCCGATTGCCCTTTGGAAACACTGCAGCCCCCGAGCATATGTCCTGCTGGACACAGGCTGCTCCCACCACAGTTTGAGGGTCACAGACCCCCGAGGCTGTGCAGCTGCTTGGGGAACAGCCGACCCCAACAATCCCGGCAATGGTCTGGACGGCCTCTCCCACAGCACCCCGCACTGGCCCCCAGGACGGGTCCTGCTTCCCACTGGCTTTCCTTACAGTCTTCTGATACCTGCTCTCCTTGAGGTCTTGGAAGCAGGAATCTACAGTTTTGAGTCTCAAGCCTCTTCTTGACCGAGCGAAACGCATATAATTAACAACTTCATTTTGATGGTGCTCATTTAGGCCCAACTCTGCCTGAAAGAGAGAAGTAATTTCCTTGTCAGTCTTGCGACTGTAATAAAGGAACCAACCGTGAAAATACAGGCTGTGCTTGGGCGGGGCCTGCTGGGCGTCCACTCAATGCTGTTCCCCCATCTCCCCACGTACACGGCTGCCCCACGAGGGACACTTCCCAGCCCTCCTTGCCATCAGGCTCGGCCACCTGACTACGTCTCAGCAATGGCTGTCAGCAGAAGACATGAGGGCTACTTCCAAAGCCTGGGCCTTAGGACAGGGGCAGGGCCTTGCTGCACCCCACTTCTCTGACCCATGGAGGGCATGGTGACTAGGCTGCACCACGCAGACAGCAACCAAGCCCTAGGGGTCGGGGAGCAGTGAGATGGGCAGAGAGAAATCAACTTCTGTATTCTTTAAGCTGCTGTTTTCTAGGTCTCTTTTGTAGCCACTCGACCATACCCTTTTTAACACAGCTTTAAAAAACAGATTTGGTTTTGACAGAGCCGTTAATTGGTCTTGATTTTAAACCGTGTAACAGCTTGACAACTATGAGCTAGAGATTAATGAAATTCTTTTCATTTCATAGCTACACTGAAACTTAAAGAGAATGATAAAACTGAACATCTTATGTAGGGGATTATATTAGTCAGAATCATTTTTATTTAAAGGATAACTTGAACTATCACAGCCTTCTTAGGGGAGACAAAGGTATCACTTCCGAGCCTTTTTTAGGCTTATCCCTCACTCTCAGCATACAGGGTTGCCTCCAACTTTGTAGAGGCCATCACCAAGGTCATGGGGCATGGTCTCCTTCTCCACTTCTCCAGTCCCTCACCAAAGCTTTTCTGTATTCGCACCCATCTGCGCCTTGTCCTGGCAGTCTCAATTTCTTTAAACGTAAGTCTGCAGGAGCCAAGACCTTGCCCATCTGATTCTGAGACATGCCCAGTACTTCTCAGAGTGCCTGTCACGGAGCAGACATGTGCCCAACAAATGAATTTAAAGAGTGTTGCTCCTTTGGAAGATGGAGGCATAGGTGGAGATGCTGTGCTTCCTCACACAACCAAGTTTAGAGACAACTAAATATTAGCAAAAGAAAACACAGCCAGAACACACAAAATTGAACTTTTCGGAAGTCTGTTAACAACAAATTCTTCAGCCTGACCGGTAAGAGGGGCGAAACCAGCAGCTGGAGGAGCAGGGTTGCACAGGAAAACTCGGTCAGATGGACTCAGGCGCGCGGAACCCAGGTGCAGGGTTGGACCTAGTAAGCGACTGAGCGAGCTACTGGGGAGAAACAGCAAGGGAGCAGGGCTGCGGGTTGACTGTGGTCGCACATCCGTGCGTGGATAGACAAGCGAGGGAGTGGGCGACTGGAGGGGAGCCAGCAGGCCCCAGTGGCGAGCAGCAGCGGAGGGCGCCATTTCCCCGCTCTGACCCCACCTCCACATACAGTGTCATAACCCAGCGACCTGAGTGGCCCTGCCTTGGTGAACCACCTAAGGCCCTGCTCCTCACCCAGCGGCAAGAAACAGCAGAGGGCCCCGCCATTTCCCTGCTCTGACCCCACCTCCACATACAGTGTCATAACCCAGCGACCTGAGTGGCCCTGCCTTGGTGAACCACCTAAGGCCCTGCTCCTCACCCAGCGGCAAGAAACAGCAGAGGGGGTCGCCATTTCCCCGCTCTGACCACACCCCCACATACAGCATCACAACCCAGCAACCTGGGAGTCCAAGGCTCCCCTCCTGGTACTTAATGGGTGTGAACAGACCAAAAATGACTCAAGAAGATCTCAAAGCCCCAGAGCCTATAAATCTAAGCGATGAAGAAATAGCAAAACTCTCTGACGCAGTTTAAAACACTGGTGGTCAGGATCCTCACAGAACTGGTTGATTATAGCCACAAATTAGACAAACATATGAAGGCGAAACTAATTGAAATGAATGGAATTACACAGAAAATCAATAGCGATGAAAAGGAAACTAGGACTCAAATCAATGGAGTGGATCAGAAGAAAGCAAATAATGGCCAAACAGAAAAGAGTGAAGCAAGAATTCAAATAAATGAGGAGAGTCTTAGGAACCTCCAGGATATCTTTAAACGCTCCAACATCCGAATTATAGGGGTACCAGAAGGGAGAAAGGAACAGCCACCAGTGGAAAACTTATTTGAACAAATAATAAAGGAGAATTTCCCCAATCTGGCAAAGGAAATAGACTTCCAGGAAATCCAGGAAGCTCAGAGAGTCCCAAAGAAGTTGGACCCAAGAAGAAACACACCAAGGCACATCATAATTACATTAGCCAAGATTAAAATGAAGGAGAGAATCCTAGAAGCAGCAAGAGATAAGGGGACAGTCACCTACAAAGGAGTTCCCATCAGACTGTCAGCAGATTTCTCAAAAGAGACCTTACAGGCAAGAAGGGGCTGGAAAAAGGTATTACAAGTCATGAAAACCAAAGACCTACACCCAAGATTGATCTATCCAGCAAAGCTTTCATTTAGAATGGAAGGACAGATAAAGTGCTTCTCAGATAAGATCAAATTCAAGGAGTTCATCATCACCAAGCCCTTATTATATGAAATGCTAAAGGGACTTATTTAAGAAAAAGAAGTTAAAAAAAAAAACATGAACAGTGAAAGGACAGCAAACTCACAGTTATTAACAACCACACCTAAAACAAAAGCAAACTAAAAGGACAGCTAGATGAGGAGTGGAAACATAGAAATGAAGATCTCAAGGAGGGTTAGCAACAGGGGAGTGGGAGCAGGAGAAGGAGGGAGAAGGTACAGAAAATAAGTAGCATAGACAGTAGATAGAAAATAGATGGGGGGCAAGAATAGTATGGGAAATACAGAATCTAAAGGACTTGAGACACATGGTCATAAACTAAAGGGGGGTAATGGTGGGGATGGGGGTAGGATGGAGGGGAATGAAGGGGGGAATAGAACTGTAATGGCATAATCAATAAAAAAATAAATAATTAAAAAAAAAAAAAGAATGTTGCTCCTTTGAAGGTCGTTCCTCATCAGGCCTTACTGGTTCTCTTTCAAATTCTTGGGGGACTTTTATTTAACCAGTTGTTCCCCTTCTTGACACTCTATTGGCTGCTTCTTCCTTTGAGACTAAGGAGAGGACTATGTATACAAACCTCATTTGTGCTACAAAACAAAACTTGAGCTTCTCTGTAGCTACTGCTGCTTCTCTCTGCTTCCCTTCTACTCCCGCCATCCCCAATCTCTTATCTAGTCCTTAAACGTGCATGCCAGTCAAATTGCTTTTGTGAAGCTCACCAGCAACCTCTTAGTTATTATACAAATCCAACCCCATGGCTGATGCCTTGTTCTCAGCTGGCCTGCTCCGTTCTTTGGCCGCTAACCCCACCTTTCCTTCTTGATCTCATGTGTAGGCTCATCCTCTCGGGCTTGTCTCTTAGATATCCAGATTTCCCAGGGCCCTGCCCTTGGACCCTTGCTCTTCTCATTCTTTCTATATGTGTCCCCTAATGACAAATCGATCTCAAGGTTTCAAGGTTACCTGTATGCCTGACCCTCAAGTCCAAGATGCTGACCTACAGGCGTATGTCCCCAGCTGTGGATGAACAGCTCCACCAAGTCTTTTTCTTTCCCCCACTGTTTTCAATATTTCTACAGTTTGAGATGTTAAAGCTTCATAATTTAAGAACTACCCAAGAATTCATAATGTGCCTAATATATGGTGCCTTGCGCAGGTTAAACGCCTGTTCCTATCTGGTAACTCTATTCTCTCCTATCAAGAAGAGTTAAGAATGTCCTAAGACTAAGAAGAAGAAAATTACTCAAACTGAGAAGGATGAACTTTAGGACAAAAGGCAGAAAAGAAAAGTTCCTGTCAAATGGAAGGGCACGAAGGAAGGGAGCAGAATGAGCAGCGGAGTTCAGCGGGAGACAGGAAATGGCGTCACAAACCTCTGCTTCCCCGCACGCACGCATGTTCATGACACGCACAAGAGTCAAATCATTAGAGAAAAAGGCACAGGCTGACGCGTGGAACAAGCAGACGCAGCACTGGGGTAAAAACCAACTTTAAGTCTAGCTGTGCAATTATTTGTGGCCAAGCCACTTAACCTCAGCAACACCAGTTTTGCCAGCTGTTAAATGAGAGGTAGATATGATGATCAGCTCTAAAATGTTTGGAAATAATGGGAAATATCCAAATAAAGAAGTTGGAATGTTTGACTTCTGTTGCAGAAATATTTTATTAAAATAATACTAATAAAAACCTAAAAACATACAGCAAGCACCCTACCAGAGCATCGCCAAGCTAGTGTCTTTGCACTGTGCCGTAAAGCAAGGGAAGGAGAGGCAAGGGTATCAGAAATGGTTCCCTGTTCCTGCCTAGTCTCAAAAAACCCACATACAATTTTGCCATCAGAAGTGTAAAAAATTTAATGATAAAAATGAGCATACACTAAGAAAATTCAACATATATGGAATGCTTACTATTTTAACAGGCTCTGCGCTATTTATTTTATACACATTCACTCATTCATCATTTTAACAACCCCAGTTTAATTATTACTGTATCTTTTATTTTCTACTGATGAAACTGAGCCTCAGTTGTTAAGCAAATCGACAGAAAGGAACGACAGAAGACAGAATGGAAGTAGATGTCATTTTGGGGATGTGTGTGTGAGACATCACCATCAGTTTTTCAACTTGAACTTGATATTTTATTGAAATCAAGCATGAGTGGGACAGGCTCTAAGATCAAGAGCGGTGGGGAGTGGTCGGCCTTGCTCAGGGCTGTACTGGAAACTGCAAGAGCATGCTTGGATTAGAGCGCGGGTGCAATGAGGGATTCTGGTTGCTGAGGTATTTCAGCATCTCATTTCAACGGGGCTCCCAACGCCGGTGTCATCCCTTTTCCGAACACTTCAGTACTGTGCAATGTTCTAAAGTACTGTTTTAGCATACAGGAAAATGGGCCTCTTTTCAACAGATCAAAACAAATGTTACCCAAGTTCCCTCAGCTGCAAAATGAGGGGCTTGGACTCTGACATCAGAAAGCTGGGTTCAATCACGTTCTCCCTTCTTGGCTCTTTAACACGAATTGCTTATGCTGCCAAAGCGTGTGTGCATATAAAAACTTGGCGTTTTTCTAAGCGAATGAGAACCCTGTCCTTCGCCTTCTGCTCGCAGCAGTCGGGTCCCCCCACCCAGCTCGCTCCATTATCGCCCACGAGGTGTGACCCGGCCCTGGTACCTCAGCCAGGGGCGAGAACTAACGCGACGCAGCGGTGCGAAGCTGCTAGGGGAGGGCTTCTTCACCAAAAACTGTCCCGAAGGGCTTCGGACGGGGTTAATTGAGTCCCGGCAACCGGCGAGGCCCCTCCCCCCCCTCAGCGGGCGCAAACCCGTTGCAAATCAGGCCATCACTCCGCTGCCCTGCTCTGCGTCTCCAGCCCCGGCCAGCGCCCACTACTCGGCGCGGTGCGGCGCCAGTGGGCCGGCTACTCACCATGGCTGCGCGGGAGTTGGCAGCCTCCGTGAGAAGTAGAGGCCAGGCGGAGCCCCGCTCAACCAGAGGTTGCCAAAGGAGAACGGACCACAGCAGACCGGGAAGGTGGGAAGGTTGTTTAGAAGCCTCCGGTTGCTAATAGGAACAGAGGCACGTGACCCTGGAATTGTGTAGTTTTATTGGTCCTTAAGGTCACGTGGTAGGAAGTGCCCCGTGACCTGCCGGCCTCCGCTAGCGCATTGGCTTCCAGAGCCCGGAAGTCCCCCCTTTCCGCGCCACGCTGGCTTTGTGGGCTGGCCGCCGTTGCCAAGGGTGACGGGAGGCGAGATTTTTTTGCCCCGAGACTCTACCCCATAACGTTCGGTGGAGCCTGGAGTCGGATGGCTGAGGAGGGCTTATCCCTCACTTTTCGCAGTGTGGCGCTACCGAGGGCCAGGGCCACGGCTCCACGGCTGCCCGACCTCTTGACGGTCTCCGGAGACACCGGACGCCTCCCCGCCCAGACTCTACGCTCCAGGAGTTCCTACTTGGCCGGGATGGGCCGATCCACTAGTGATGCCAGGTTCCTCGGCAGACCTTTGAACGACCCTCTCTCCCCATCCCGGCACCCCCTCCCCTTTTCTTCTTTATATTTCTGGTTAAAAAAAAAAAACGAATATAGAACATCCTTTGTTAAAAAAAATTCTAACGAAGTTGATGAAAGACCAATGAATTTCAAGCTAATTATGCTGAAAATCACCAGAGAGGCATGTTGAAAGAACACTTCGTGGCCCGACCCCCAGAAATCCAAGTCTAGTTTGGGTCTTTCGAATCTGCCGTGTTACTAACATTCCAGGACTGATCACAGACCACTCTTTAAGAAACACTGTCCCAGAAGAGCAAAGGTGTAGGATGACATAGACTATTGCACATACTGGGCTCCTGGGGCTAGCCATGGAGTGGGCATAGGCCATTGAGTAGGTATTTCTGCAGCCTCCGAAGACAGAAACTTGAGCAAGATGCACTCACTGGAAAGGCAGTGAATCAGCTGAGGAGTGAGCTCAGCACATGGAATAAGGAGCATAGAGAGGGGAGCTTTCTGAGAATCTGGGGCACTTCACATTGAGGAGAGGTATTTGGTTGGCATTAGCCCTGACTCATGAACAGATACAGTAACTTAGATAATGCTTTTTGGTTTGGTGTTGATTTTGGCCACTACAAAGCACAACTTAAAATGGATCACAATTGGGACCTGAAAGTCTAGAATGGATTTTAAAGATCTTGTCCCATCTACTTACCTTATGGTTGAAGAGACTGAGAGCAGGGGTCACATGTCCAAGACCTCGGGGCTGGGTGGGGACATCTGAAGCCTGTGTGTGGGACGGAACTAATACAAATAGGTTTTCAAGAGCAAAACCAGAAAGCAGATGTGGACTATTCTGGGACAGTAGGTGTAAATCGTATTCTAGTTTCAAGAATTTCATTTTTCTTTTCATTTCTTGCCACATTCATTTTATACAGTGTGATAGATCAAGTTATGTTCACAGCTTAGTTTCCCAAGAACTGAGCTCACTACTTTTTAAACTTGAAACTTCCATCGTTAGAACAAAGTGGCTGCTGTTAAATTCTGTAGAATAAAGCTAATTTACAAAGGGGTGTGGCTTTCAAAGAGGCGTGGCCATGAAAACATGTTTATTAATTACATGGTAAATTGGAAATAATTAAACTAGATAATTTTCAATTCAGACAAAGTAAGAGCTAGAAGGAAACAGTATTTTCAGATGAGGAAAGGCAGTGCAGAAGAGTAAAGGTCTTGTCCAGTAACAGAGGCTGGCAGAGGCAGGTCTGAAATCCTAATCTGATTACTGGTGAGAGTTTCTTGACCATTTAGGCCCATCCAAATATAGGTGACAGGGCTTATCTTCCAAATTTACTCCCACCTCTCAGGATGTAAGGCCCCTCACCCTCTGTGTAGGGGGGGTTATGAATGTCCCATGATTTTTGAAAAGGGGAGGAGAGGCAGTTTGCCAATTTGGATGGGGCTTCAGGAGTCCGCTCAGGTGATCTCAGGATGGTATGTAGGCAGTTGCCATGGCTGGAGCAGTCTCGGGCATGAAGGGTGGTCTGGGGGCATTGGCCTGGCTACGCCCAGCTTCACCTTGGCCTCTATGGGACATCGGGGCAAAATCTTTGTCCCCCTGCCAGCGCTGTAAGGGCAGACTCTCAGCCGCTGCACTCCATCATAGCCTCCTCCAAGTTCAGTTAAATCTCCACTTTGCCCTGCCATCTCTCACGTTTCTGTTCAGTGAGTGTTTGTTGAACTTGATAATAAGAGTTGCCATTATTTAGTGCCTACTATGGGTGAGACATAGTCCATTCCAGTAGTTGATCCTCACCATCTTCTTTCTTACTGCAATTGATATTCATGGGATTCACGTAGAGATAAGGTGACTTTGCTAGGTGTTACGGATCCAAGGTAAAGAGAGAATTTTATAAGCACTTTTATGACATTTGAGAAAATAAAGTTGTCTACCAATTTGCCTTTGTAAGGGAACTGAAGTGTTATTTTCTTACAGGCAAACTCCTGTGCTTGCTGCAGGGTGACCAAAGCAGAGAATGGGGGATGCAAATGTTTTCTTTGTGAGTATGTTTGCGGCTTGGGGATTTTTTTTTAAAGTTGTTCTACAAAGCTGCATCAGCTAGTTTTAATTTAAAATCCTATTTTAATCTAAAATCTTCTGCACCAAGGATGCTGTATTACTTCCAGCCAATCTACCCAGCTGAGCTGAATGTTGTTACACAAGCTGTCTAAATAAAATGTCAGTAAAAATGAACATGTACTCTGGTCTTAAATTGATGAATTTGGCTCACAAAAAGGCTGAACTTGTGCTTTGGGTTGTTTACTAGCTTGAGCTGACCACCAAAGCAAACCGAGCTGTGAGCGAGAACATTTCCACCCTATTTTAGGAGTGAGCTTCTTTGTCTCACTCTATTTTTTTAGAATTGTGGTATCAATGTTGAAAATGGGTGTGCGTGTGCATGTACGCGTGTGCATGTCAGTTTGAAAGGTGTGAATGGGAGGCATACAAACAAGACCATTGAACACCTCTTGGTGTAATTCAACATATATAAAATGAAGATCAACTGTGTGATTTTGGATTATTAGAAAATGAGGCTCTTAGGAGTTTGTAAGTTACCAGTCATAACGGCAAGACCATCCATTTCAAAGTGTTTACCAGCTAATGTAGGCAAAGGAGGAATTGCAAAGTGGTCACGGTCTTCTTAGTAGTGTTGACAGAATGACTCTTTCTGCCACTATTCTCAGAGTCCCCTTTGTGTACAAGCTCCTTCGGCCACGGTAAAAATCCAAGGTGGGGCAGTAGAGGGACTCAGAAGGCCTAGGTCTCTCTACTCTACAGGTCTTTGGGTGAGATGGGGGAAGGGGACTAAGCTGAGGCTTTACTTAGGTGAAAAGAGAAAAGACTTTTAAAAGCAGAAAAGTCTGCTTTTTAAAAAAAATCTTCTTTTTAAAGAAGAAATTAGTATAGGAGGTACCCAGAAAAGGCAGAAATCTTGAAGGCCTGTGGGAAGGAGGGCAGTTTGAACAAGACTGAAGTGGGAGTAGGTGGAAATGGTGAGAGAAAAATCATTTGGCGGGTTGTCTGGGAGGAGGCAAAGCCTTCGGAGTACGGCGCCTTGCATGTCCTGGAATCTGCCCCATCTTCTCCAACCCTGCCCAGCTGCAGTTGAGAAAGCAGCCAAGACTTTAAAGAAGGGAAATCCCAGGGCTGAAAAAGCTTTTGTGGGAGCTATGGCATTTTGGTGGCTTTCTGGTAGCAGGAGGCCATTTTCAGTTCTTTGCTGTTTGTTCCCTCAGTTGGTTGGTTTCAAAATGCCCCAGTGACCTGCAGAGTGTTGGAGGGTGCTGACAAATTAGATTAGTAAAATCACCATCCCATGCATTAAAGGAGGTCAGGCAAGGAAGTGGTTCACCATAAAACACTGCCAACTCCCTTTGAGATGGGGTGGAAAATGCTAATTCTTAGCCCAAAAGATAGATTAGTTTCACTGATAAATCTCTACACATTAAAAACCTTCGAAGGAAGCAAATAAATCATCAAAAAGTTAAGCCTACGTAAAAACAAGTCCAGAATTGGTTGTGAGGGATACCTTCCTGTAAAGTACAAGAAAAATGTACCGTGAATATGGTGACATGTGACAAATCCCTGTCCCTCACCCTCACATGCATATACACATTTGTGTTAGACCCACAAATTCCGTCCATGGAAAATGGATACATGAAAGGCACTGTAGGGAAGGGGGCAGCGAGCAAGATGGCATTTGTCCCCTTCACCCGTAGCCTTATAATCAAGTCAAGGGGAAAAAAGCAAGCTTGCAAAACCATCTCAAAGCACACAAGAAGTGGCATGGGTCAGAGAAGGATGAGTCACCTTGACCGAAAGTCAAGAGAAGTTCAGAAGGCAGTGGAATCGGGGCTTGGCTTTAAAAGGTGTGTGGAAGAGCTGGAGGTGGCCATGATGATTGTGAGGGAGTGAAGGTGGCCCTGAGCCACAGGCCAGAATTTTCATCAGGTGACACAGGAGAAGCACCCAGGGATATACATTTAGATTTGTCATTGTTGCAAGTTGCAGAGAGATAGCTAGGGTTGGACTACCCGAACCAGTCTTATGCAGGAAGACGGGCCTCCTAGCTCTGTGATCCTCGCTGAATGTCCGCTGGCCCACTGTCCATGTAGAGGTGTCCACCCAGTGCATTCCAGCTCAGAAAGCAGAAAGCTGACTTAAATTTGCTCAAAGTGTTGCCTACCAAGGTAGGATGCTTTGGAAGGTCTGAATGGCCCAGTGCAAGCTGTGTTCATGAACGGAGGTTTTCTCAATGAGACGGGTAAAGAGAACGAAGGAAACATTGTTCTTAGTATACACATGTTTGTCTTTTCCACTACTACATTTCAAGCTCCTTGATGGAAGGAGTCTTTATTTTATGATCAACCTGAGCCCTCCAAGCAAGGGCGGGGCCATAAAAAGCCGAAAGATGGTAGAAACAAGGTCCCTGCTCTCCCGGGTCCTAACTGGGTAGTGGGAGAGCGACCCACTGGAAGGTCATCTCCACATAATGTGTTCACCTCTTGGGAAAG